AGATGTCAGGATGATGGCTTAAAATGCAATTATCGGCATCGGCCTGATATGAAAAATTATGCCGATATGTGTTGCCGATAAGACTAATAACTTCCGGTGTGCAAAAGAATCAGCAGCAGCCGTTCAGTAACGCGTTTTATTTTTCTAGGGGTCGCTGTTGGCCTACTTGTAATAAAATGAAAGCAAAATACAAACAAATATAATTAAGATTGTGCTTCTGATTAAATAAAGCAGTAATTGATGTCATAAAATCACGAGTATGGTTTGATTTAAAGGTCAGAAGCTATAGCTTACATTAATAAAAATCACAAACATAACACTTGTAAATTAAAAAAAACATTTATTCATTAATGTGTAATGTTTTTTTTTTTCAAACGGATTATAATTTACAACTGCATCCGTCTGAAAAAAAGTAGCGATTGGTTTATAGTTGATTTATAGTTATTTTCAAAGCTTTCAATGTACTCTCATTATAAAAGAACTTCAATATTGTTTATTTAATTCTAACAAGTAAGTTTTTGTTGAAACCAAACCAAAATTTAAAGTCATTTGTTTATAATCTCTGCACAGGAGAGACTTGGTGTTGTTTCCAGACAAAAGGAAATATATCGGTATTGATATAATTTTGATACCAAAATTAGTTGAAAAATATCGGCATATCGGAAAAAATCCAATATCATGCATCCCTACTTTGAAAAATTATTCATGATGGTACTAAAATAATTGTGTATTGTTATGAGTGTATTGTTTATAATATTACAATATTATACCATTGTTTATTATTGTTATATTATATAGTTATTTTTTTGGACAAAAAAATATAGTAATGCTAATCTAATAAAATTAACCAGTGAGAATAATGAAAATTACAAAAAAACTAAAAAAACTCAAAGAATATGTCTGGATGCATTACATTCATCAAAGTTTGGGATTTTGGGATGTTAAATTGTCTTGAAAATAAAGTTTTATTGAAAAAAAATTGCAATGGACCTAAAATAAGCTTAATTTGCTTTATACAAATCTTCTTGCTCTTCTTATTTTATTGATTTATTTATTTATTGACAAAAAAATTATGTATACAATTTAATAAAATTAATATGAATTATGTCTCGTAGCGTTCATATGTGATGATTTCTCTTGCTCTCAGGTGTCGGCTGTGTGCTCCTGGGATTCGTCCATCCACGACTCCATCCATCTGAACCGGATCACGGCGCCCAGCGAGCGGATCTACCTGATCGTGAAAGCCACGGTTCAGCTCAGTCACCCGGCGTCTGTGGAGCTGGTGCTGCGCAAGAGGATCGCCGTCAACATCTACAACAAACAGGTCTGCAAACACAGGGAGGCAACATGATTCATCTTAATGACTTTATTAAAACTCAAAAATCAAGATTCTTTATGATTGTTGTTGTTAATTATTTTATTTTATTATTTATTTTATATATGTAAATATATATTTATATATATATATATAACTGATATATCTATCTATCTATATATATCTATATATATATATTATTTTTATTTTTTTTTACTCATTTTTAAATGTGACATGAAGATTTTACCACCCTCTTCAGTTTTGGCATATTGATTTATGAGTTTTTGTTGAAGTTTATTGAGCTGTGATGAGATGTATGATTGGCATGTACATGTTATTAATGTAAATTCATGACTAATGTCTGGTAGAGTTTTACTCAGAGCCTGAAGAGACGGATGTCTTTGAAGAACGTTCTGTACTCCTGTGGAGTGACGTATGAGATCGTGTCCAACATTCCAAAGGTACAAACTTCACACTGTTTCCTCTTCATGTTTGTCTGTCTGAATGCACTGATCACACACATGCTGTCTTCATGAACAGGCGTCTGAGGAGCCGGAGGAGCGAGAGACTCTGGCCTTGATGGCGGCGCGAGGAGAGAGTGAGGAGACGCTCGATGGAGAGACGTATATAGAGAAATACACCAGAGGAGTGCTGGAGGTGGACAATATTCTGTGTCTGGAGAGACTCCGGCAGGTTCGGCTTCAATTTAGGACAGATTTCTCTCACTATCTGCTGTTACTGCTGGAGTGTTTAGTAGAGATCAACCAATATTGATTTTTTGTAATGATACCGATATCGATTATTTGCATGTTTTGTGCCCAATAACCAATATGCAGAACCAATATTTATTTATTGTTTCACTTTTATCTGCTGTTTCTGCTGGAGAGTTTAGTAGAGGTCTACCGATATAGATTTTTTTTTATAACCGATACAAATTATTTGCATGTTTATGTGCCGATAACCGATATGTAAAACCAATACTAATTTATTGTTTTACTTCTATCTGCTGTTTCTGCTGTAGTGTTTAGTAGAGATCGACTGATATTGTTGTTGTTGTTTTTTATAACCGATACTGATACAGATTATTTGCATGCTTATGGGCCTATAACCGATTTGCAGAACCAATATTTAGTTATTGTTTCACTTTTATCTGCTGTTTCTGCTGGAGAGTTTAGTAGAGGTCTGCCAATATTGTTTTTTTTTTAATTTTTTTTTTTTTATAACCGATACAAATTATTTGCATGTTTATGTGCCGATAACCGATATGTAGAACCAATATTTATTTATTGTTTTGTTGTATCTGCTGTTTCTGCTGGAGTGTTTAGTAGAGATTGACCAATATTTATATTATTTTTTCTAACCGATAACGATTACCTTATCTGAAATCTTTTCCTTAAATCTCAAAACGACCACAAGATGGCGGCATTTATCGGTGGATCCAATATTACAAAACCAATATCCGATTATGAAAAAATGCTTAGATATCAGGAAACAATATCAGTCAAACCGATTATCGGTTGATCTCTAGAGTTTAGTGTGTAATTGTGGGTTCATTCAGGCCGTGACGGTGAAGGAAGCTCTCTCCGCTAAAGGCAGACACATACGGCGCAGTCTCAGCACGCCCAATGTCCAGCACGTAAGACCAGATCTACTATTGACTTGTGTATAGAAACAAAAGACTGTCCATTGTGTAACAGAACAGTAATATATATTTGTTTAGAGCTCTTGTTGTAAACCGGACGGGACTGGATGTGAGGATGAGGACGTAAAGGTTAGTGAACACTACAGACGGTGTGTTTGTTGTGAATGTCTTTGTCTGAACGTTGACTTTATTTCCACAGACTCACTGTGATGGTCCAATGGATGTCACAGAATCCAACGTAAATGAAGCTTCACTCAACAGTCCTCTCGCAAAAGACACGCCTGTCAAAAACAAAGAAAATCAGGGTAAATTAATGTATGATGGTGAACTTATCTTTTTGCTGGGAGGATTTGAAAGACAAAGATGTTTTTTTTAAAGCAAGCATTCTAAAAAAAAAAGAACATTACTGTAGTTAAAACAATATTAAAGATTATAACTAAACAATTTAATTAAAATAATAATAATAGTTGTTGTTGTAAAAAATTCAACACTTCTAAATAAAAAAAATGCAATAATTTGTGATAATTAAAAAAAAGTTATTGTTAGTAGTAAATAGTGCATTTAACTTTTCAAGACTTAAAAATAAAAGAAAATAGTGAATATATATATATATATTATAGATATTAGTAGTAAATGGTACATGTAACTTTTCAACACTTCTAAAAATAAAATAAAAATTTATAATTAAAAATAGATAATTATATATGAATAAATACAGACCTTTTCAGTTTTTGTTTATAGCGCCTTTAAACATCTTTATGCATCATTGGATGCAAACGTTCTCCTCAGGATCGGTACCAGAGAGTCCAACGTTCTTCAACTCCAGTCCGTTTAAGGTTCTGTCTCCTCAACCGCCCAAGTTCCTCAAACACACTCACTCACACACACACACAGAGACACTCACAGAGACTCTCCCTCCCTCACACACACACAAACACACTCACTCACACACACACACAGAGACACTCACAGAGACTCTCCCTCCCTCACACACACACAAACACACTCACTCACACACACACACAGAGACACTCACAGAGACTCTCCCTCACACACACACACACACATATACACTCAGTGCTTCGTTCCCATTATGTGTCTCATATACCATTCATATTGTGTTTCCACCCTCCATATTCTCACATATTTTATGATCTGACAATGATTCAGGCTCTGGTCCCTGTCTTAAAGTGTTTCTAAGTGTCTCTCAGTCCACAGAGAAGCTGTCTTTCAGCCAGGGTCCAAAATGAACACTAAATTAAGATCCAAATGCAAGTGAAAATCACCAATTGGCTGGTAATTTCATTAGGATCTCTAAGATGATCCTGATGATGCTTTGTAAGTATCCTCATCTGAATCTCACTAGTGACATTAATTCAGTTTAAATCAAAGACATATAAAACAATTTGCGAAAGAAAAATTAACCACCCAAATGTAAATATGATAACAAAAATATATTATTCCAATTTTTAAAAAAGCAACAAATTATTTTCAGTGAGGAATATTCATTGTTTGTGAACTTTTTTCTTTTCTTTTTGCTTGTAAATTCTCCCCATATTAGTTAATTTTGGACCCTGTTCCCAGCATGCATCAGTCCCTCAAGCCTGTTCATTTATACAGCCACAGATTTATTCAGACTGACCTCTACATGATGCTGAACCTGTTAACCGGAAGTACGAGTTTAAAGGAATAGTTTACCTACAAATTTTTTCATTCACTTTATTTAACATTTTGATTACATTTTGATTTAATAAGTCTAAAATGTTATATAGCCATCATGTAAAAAGTAATAAAATATTTTCCTTATACCTTAAATACATTTGGGTTTTCATATTTTAATTACATTATTATTTACAAAGAAGTTAAGAATATTTAAATAAAACGAAAGTATTTTATATATATATATATATATATATATATATCATTGCAGTTATTGACAAGTCATTTATGTACTATTATAGTTTTTATAACTATATTTAGGTTTAATAAATTTTTTGTTTTAGCTCCGTTTTAGTTTTCATTTATTTCCATTTTGTCATTTTAATAATAGTTTTAGTTTTAATGAATGATAATAACCCTAAAAATAAAATTATATAGTTAAACAATTATATGAAATTACATCAAAATTTTGAATGATATATATATACTACTGTTTTGACACTTTTCTGTAATTTTTGTCAAGGTTATTATCCTTCATTAAAACTAAAACTATTATTCAAACTTTAAATATATATATATATTAGCTGAAAAACTTATTCAGTTAGATACCTAGGCAATGTTTCTAATTTTCGTTTAGTTTAATTTGAAGAATTAAAATTACTACCTGGAAATAAATTAAAACTGAACTAAAAATAAATTAAACACAAATATAAATTTTTTTTTTTTTAACTAATAAAAATGATAACAGCACATAAAAATATTACTAAAATTAAACTTAAAAATGAAGCTAAAATTAAAATGAAAACAGAAAATGTAAAAACAAAAGCTAATTCAAAGTATTATTTAAAAAGTATACTTTGTAGCATTGTATGTAAAAGAGCAGCTCTGATGTTGTACAAAACATCTAATTTTGTGTTCAGTGAAGAAAGAAGAAAATAATACGAGGAATGTCAGAACAACATGAACATGAGTTTTTGTGCTAACTATTCCTTTAAAAGCGCTGAATCTGTGGCTGTGTGCATGTGCACTCACCTGTTGGCTGTGCTGCATGGCTCGTGTGAAGTGTGCTGTTGTGCCCTGATTGCAGAGCATGCGTTGGTTTGTGGACCCCGGCGGACCCTGGTCCAGACCCAGGGCTCAGAGCGAGGGCCGTGGCACCAGTGACATCATCAGCAGCTCGGCCAATCACAGACAGCCCAGACTGAGCACTGATCTCACTCACACGCGGCCGCACGCTGCTGTAAGTCAACACATGCATGTCGCATACTAGTTAATACTACTAGGAAGGGCCCTCTTGAAACTGTCGATTACCACAGAAAATCATTTTTAACCTGTCCATTATGTTGTATATTTCTTTTATAATATACCTTTTTAATTTTAAAAATGTTATTTAATTTTAAATCTAAAACATTGCATAACAGTAAAAAGTAATAAAATATTTTCCTTACACCTTGAATATATGTGGGTTTTCATATCTTAATCATTATTTACAGAGAAGTTGTTCAGCATATTTTAATAAAACATATATAAATAATAATAAAACATACTACAAAATACTTTTTTAAAGAACTTCAAAGAATTAAAAAAAAATAAAATTGAGAATTTTTGCATTATTATTGCAGTTATTGACAAGTAACTGACAGCATCCCACTTGAATTCCTTGGTATTAGCTTGAAAATAACTCAAAATATTTCTTCTTAGAACCAAATTCATTACATTCATGTACAAACAATTGTCCAGGAGGGTTAAATTTATGCATTGCATCCCTTTTAAAACTGATGATGCTGCCCCATCGTCGTCATCATCATCTCGGCACCATTTGCATCTCATTGTATCCCATCACCCTCATGTGAATGATGAGTAACTGCATGAATCCCTCAGCTTGTGTTTAACTCACTACTGCAGCACTTCACATATCACACTGTTAGTTACAAAGCAAATTAATTATCACTACTTTTATATTCAGTAGAGTTGTCTGCACTGGAAAGCTAATCCAGCCACTTATGTTCCCTATATTTCTGAAATAAAATAATTTTACTTACACATGTATCATATGTGTTAAGTGATTGTTATGAATTCATTGATTATATTATCTAACTTTAAATTCATTTACGTTTATATAATTTTTGAAATTATTTAAATTTTAAATAATTCTAACATATATATATATATACACACACACACACACACACACACACCGATGAGCCATTACATTATGACCACCTATCTAATAATCTGTAGGACCTCCTTTAGCCCACAAAACAGCAGCAATGCATCAAGGCAATGATTCGATGAGGTGGCTATAGGTCTCCTGGGGTATCTGGTACCATAATGTCAACAGCATGTCCAGTTCCCGTACATTGTGGGGTGGTGGTGGTGATGTAGCGCGAACCCGCTTTTTGATTGAGTTCATGTCAGGTGAATTTGGAGCCAAGGCATTAACAGAAATTCACCATCATGTTCCTCGAACCACTCCTTGACGATTCTGGCAGTGTGGCATGGCGCATTATCCTGCTGGTAAAGGGGCCTAAAGTGTCCCAAGAAAACATGACCCACAGCATAACCGGCCTGTGTTCACCCAACAGTGCATCCAGGTGCCATAGCCCCTGTTGATAATCGGTGAGTCTGCGATCGGCCGTCAACATGATGCACCAGGAATCTTGATTCATCAGACCAAGCCACTTTCTTCCAATTATCCATGGTCCAATCTCGATGGTCCATTTCATGCTTTGTTGGCGATGGCGTGCAGTTAGCATGGGGATCAGGCCAGGTGGTCGGCTACACAGGCCCATACGCAGAAGGCTGAAGCGATGACGCACTACAAGCGTGTCGTTTTTCCAGATCGAAGTTCTGAGGCGCTGTGCCCTCACAATTTGTTTGTTATCAAACACCAATAAATTGGCAGCTTTTCTCATTCTGACACCGAACACTCTACTGACCGAAAGCCAGTACTCAGGTGGTATATATACTGCTCTGTGAACCGCATCTGTGGCACCATTCGGTTGCCAGTTGTGGTCATTGCTCTAGGCTGGGGGTGGTCGTAATGTAATGGCTCATCGGTGTGTGTGTGTGTGTATAAAATATTGTAAAATCTAAATTCTTAGATGACATATTGCTTTGATGCTTCCAGTGTAGACGACTGAAATGATTCAACACTGGATGTATCCGGTATCGATCCCCTGTTGTAGACAAAAAGACCGAATACAGTAGCAGATGTGCTTCAGGATTTCTTTACAAGGGGGCGGTAGAGTCCCTCCTGATCACTGCTTTGCTGTTTGTTTCCTGTTTGGTCATCGATGATTTATCAGGATTCAGAGGAGGAGGATCCTGACATGGATTCAGCCTTCACCCGTTCCAACGATCCAGGCCTCGGGTCTCTGGAGCTCCAAAACTTCAAGCCTTACATCCCAGAGGATTTTGCCAACTTTGAGGTGTACAATGCCAGCCTTGAGACCCAAGATGGGGCCATATGTGTGCAGGGAGAAATGGCGCTGGGGATCGGAGAGTTAACAGGGACACAGGCTGTGGAAAAAGAAGTGTCCCGTAGTCCCACGGCCAGCTCATGCACGAGCGGCTACTTCTCCCATAGTGCCTCGAACGCCACGCTGTCCGACGTGCTCCTCAGCGGTAGTGATAGTTGTGACCAGCTCAACAGCAGAGAACCTGCAGACCCTCAGGAAGCACTGCACGGAAGAGGGTTGCATCCTTCCAGAAGTGCCTTGGGATCTTGTCCAGCCCAAACCGTTCCCACTCAGCCCTGTTCCCATCACTGCACTGACCGGGACTGTTCCCCTCGGCTTCCCCGCAAATGTATCCTGAGCGTCAGTCAAGAATTCACGGACTTTAAGGGTGCAGATGATGGTGTAGGGAAAGAAGACCTTGGTAACATCAGATGGAAGGCGGAATCGATTCCCCCAAACTTTAAGGGTGTAGATGATAGCATAGGAGAAGACAACCTTGGTAACATTGGATGGAAGGCGGAATCGATTCCTCCAAAATTTAAGGGTGTAGATGATAGCATAGGAGAAGACAACCGTGGTAACATTGGATGGAAGGCAGAATCGATTCCCCCAAATTTTAAGGGTGTAGATGATAGCATAGGAGAAGACAACCTTGGTAACATTGGATGGAAGGCGGAATCAATTCCCCCAAACTTTAAGGGTGTAGATGATAGCATAGGAGAAGACAACCGTGGTAACATTGGATGGAAGGCGGAATCGATTCCCCAAGGCATTGATCCCCTGCCCCAGTGCCATCTCCACAATGGGAAAGAGTCTCCCAGTGTCCCAGCACCTTACGCCAACCCACAGCTGGAAAAAAGTCAAGGACTCGAGTCCTTTGCAGATGTAGAACCTTCGGTGGACTCTAGCGAGGACGAGAACGGACCAGTTGCTCAGTTGCCGGACTGGATGGCCCCCGGTGAGCAAGTTTGGGTGGGCAAAAGGAGTGGGACGGTGCATTATGTTGGAGGGGTAGAGTTTGCCAAAGGCATCTGGGTTGGAGTAGAGCTGGACCTTGCTGTAGGTAAGTGAGCTTTTCCCTGTCTTGCTCTTTGACGCTGAATCCCATCTCAACTCCTTGTAACCTTAGACCTTTCTCGTCCTTCCATAGGCAAGCACAATGGTACAGTCCAGGGAAGGGTGTACTTCCGGTGTGCCACAGGTCATGGTGTCTTCGTGAAGCCATCCTGTTTGACTCGAGGACCTCCGTCCATAGACACTGAACCTCAACCTGTGCTTCAGTAGGAGCAGGACATTTACCCAATGGTTTGTAGACGATCTCTTCGGCACCAGCACCAGCGACCGCCTGGACAAACCAAGTGCTAACAGAATCCATCCTTCTGATTTGTTCATCACGTTAGAGATTTGTTGGTTCCTCTGATTCCATGGCAATAAACCCAACCTGTGTGTCTTGTGTTGAAGTTATAGGCCTATTTCAGTATCGTCTTTGAATGTCGAGAGTTGCACAGTTGCACAAACACGTTTTATATATCATGTATAGCTGTAATACTTACATCCATCTTGGTTAATTGGTTACCACTTCTTATATGACTAAATGTATTAATCGAATGATGCCTAACTCTACTATACTTTAAGTGAGTTTGAGATTTGGATGTCTGTTCAAGGTAAGAGTGTACTACTGTTTATGACCATTTTGTTTGCGTGATTATATCAGGTATTACCAAAGACATAGCCTTTCAAATCTGCTGTTCAAACTTCTAATGTAGAATACTTTGGCGACGTGTTTTATGCTTGTGTACTTTAATATGTGTTCGACCGATTTATGCTAATGTGCTAAGTGCCATATTTCTGGTTGAAAGGCCACATGCCCATCAGAACTTCAAAATTGTGGTCAATTTTGTTTTAGATTTAATAGTATTTTGATTGGATGGCAAGCCAGTTGCTCGTACTCTGTTGCGTTACTGGCTTGTTGAGTACTGTAACTGTTGAAGGACTGCCAATATTTCTGTTAACAGAGCTGTCTGAACACTCGCACTGGAGTAACTTATCCTGGATGCACATTAAGTTACGTAATGCACAGACTTTTACGCATTCTCAGATACTGATTTGACGCTTCTCAGGAGGTTGACGGAAGTGAGGTCACCCCTGATGTGGAGAGCACCTTGTTTTCTTTATCAGAGCCTTGCCGGTAGGGAGCATTTTTGCAAAACACAGATATCCTGGTCTACTTCGTATCGGCTATAGACCAGAAATGCCCTAAAGTACTGACACAAGCCCTGTTCATGAATGGGGTCTTTTTAGATAGTCGACTTCTAGGTTCACCCGCCTAATAAAGAAGCTTTCGAGCATTTAAATCCATGTGTGTTTGACTGTTGAGTAGTATTTTGATTAGTTTGTGATACTAAAGCCAATATTAATGTTTTTATAGGTATAAATGGGAGATGGGCAATATCGGGGAATGGGAGATAGCCTGAATAATGCTAGTATGTTTAGTGACCGGCCATGACCGGTGCTGTTATTATTGCTCTGTTTTACCTGAAGAACTGTGGATCTCATAAGAAGTGAATACTATTGCTGTCAATGGAGACGGTAAAATGAAAACCCAAGACCTTACTTAAAAGAAAACAAAGCTGCTCTCCTTGACAAGGAGCTGTACATAAAATGTATGAACATAGTATTTACAATATTATAAAATGTACAGAATTGTATTTATATTGTATCTCTGCAGATGTTGGTACAAAGATGTTGTAGAATACAGAACGTTTACAAACGCTTTTGTGTGTGTTTTCTTCCTTTGTATGACATTTATTGGTTGTTTTTCTATTGATATAAGAGGTTTGCTCATAAAAATTTGGGTGAACTACTCATTTATCATGTTATAGGTAATATAATAATTGTACTAAAGCATAAACAATGTTTATTTGCATTTGTTGCTGAATTTTTTTTACATTTAAAGACTAATCATCAAGCATGCAATTATTCATTGATTATCTTTTTTCTTCTTCACTGATAATCACTAGAAAAACTGCACACCCTGAATACAGTTCATTAGTACTCAGATTTAGACAAATTCAGTGCAACATTTTTTTAAAGCAAAGTGTCTTAATAAATGAAGGAAGTGACTACAATATGTGCATTTTGACGAGTGCGTTGCACTGACCTTATGTTTGATTGATTGGCTGATTTCATATCTTCCCCAGAAGTAGGTTGTCTACCCTGAGTCTGACCTTTGACCTACATTATCATGTTGAGTTATAGGGCTGCATCTGAAATCGTAGGTACTTCTTTGAATTAGTAATTACTTCACGATAACAAAAAGAGTATGTTCTAATATGAATGTAATCTGGACATACTACATTCGCCTTGTCATTGTCACGTGACCTACTAAATCCTCTCCCATGGCCTCATGGGATTGTAAAGTGTCCATCATATGCACAAGTCAGAATTACGCTGGAGGCAGTAGGTCATCCGGGTAATTTATGCCTAATCTTTTACGTGGTACTGTGTATTCGGACATACACTACTACCAGTCAAAAACTTCTGAACTGTAAGATTTTTTATGTTTATTTTAAAGAATGCTCTTCTGCTCACCAAGCCTGCATTTATTTGATCCAAAATACAGCAAAAGCAGTAATATTGTGAAATATTTTTACTGTTTAAAATAACTGTTTTCTATGTGAATATCTGTTAAACTGTAATTTATTTCTGTGATCAAAGCTGTATTTTCAGCATCGTTACTCCAGTCTTCAGTGTCACATGATCCTTCAGAAATCATTCTAATATGCTGATTTGCTGATCAAGAAACATTTATTATCCAAAAGTTAAAAAGACGAGCATTCATTTAAAATAGAAATCTTTTGTAACAATATACACTACAGTTCAAAAGTTTGGGGTCAGTAAATTTTTATTCTTTCTTTTTTTGAAAGAAATTAAAACTTTTACTCAGCAAGGATGTGTTAAATTGATAAGAAGTGATAGCAAATATTTATACTGTTAGAAAATATTTATATTTTGAATAAATGCTGTTCTTTTTAACTTTTTATTCATCAAAGAATCCTGAAAAAAGTATCGCAGTTTCCAAAAAAATATTTGGCAGCAGATAATTCTAATAATAAATCAGCATATTAGAATGATTTCTTAAGGATCATGTGACACTTTATACTGGAGTAATGGCTGATGGAAATTCAGCTTTGCATCACAGAAATAAATTATAATTAAAATATATTAAAATAGAAACCATTATTTTATATTGTAATAACATTTTGCAAGATTACAGTTTTTTTCTGTATTTTTGATCAAATAAATGCAGCCTTGATGAGCAGAAGAGACTTCTTTGAAAAACATTAAAAGTGTTATTGATCCCAAACTTTTGAACGGTAGTGTATATATATATGTATGACATTTAAACGGATAAAATTAAACGGGTAATCATTAGTCACGTGAGAGTGAGTAAGCAATAAGGTCAACCATTGAGGGAAGGTAGAGATTCTAAATGTGGGCGTGGTTAGACCGTACCGTGGGCGGGGCGGGGATGACTGTGGGCGTGGCCTGTGTCCGCGTGTGAGAGAGCTTGCAAAACCATATGGCATGTTGAGTTTTGTCGCCTGACAGTCACGCTCGTTTGCTGCGGTCCTTTCTACCTCATATCAAATCATCCGCTCTCTGTTACTGCTGCCTTCCAGGAATACAAGCTGTTCTTGATTTAAGCAGTCGTAGTGAAACTTTGACCCTGTTTGAGTCGTCGTGAGGATGCACAGCTCTCAGAAGGACACCACATACACCAAGATCTTCGTCGGAGGTCTTCCGTATCACACCACCGACTCCAGCCTCGCGAAATACTTTGAGGTGTTTGGAGAAATCGAGGAAGCTGTTGTCATTACTGACAGACAAACGGGGAAATCCAGAGGCTATGGATTTGTAAGCTATCTATCTATCTATCTATCTATCTATCTATCTATCTATC